GGACTCAAATGATCGTGTCACACGTCCTGTTCTTGTCACATACCATAAGTAACAATTCACGTTTTCATGCAGTGTTTGAAACGCACGGAATCAATCTCACAAAATTACCTCCAACAAATGGATCATATATAATTCAACAGTAAATATGAGAGACTCACCAACTTACGAACGCGCTTACAGCAGCAACTCACTTATCAACACCAACTCTACTCTGATCAAGACCAACGCGGCTACAAGGAGAGGAGTTGTTTGTGCTATCGAATGCCGAGACGAGGAACAACAAACGATTGGTGGTGTAAGATCACCAACAGCTGTCGCCAGCTCTACCTCCTTAGGAAGAGACAGCTTTGGATTCGATCTTTCGTCACATTTCAAGAAGTCTTCTTGGGCTGGTAGTATTTGTTCAGACGACCTTGATATCCAACCACCAGGAAGACGAATTCTTGATCCAATCTGAGCTCGATGACATCATAGACCATGTGATTCGTTGCAGTAGGAAGAGGTGAAGAAAGCTACTGTTAATCTACCTAGAGGACTTGAAATGGGACATGTCTTCCATCTAACCTTGTATTGGTACTAATAGTAAGCAGACCTAAATTCTTGGTATGGTCGCAGGCGGCGATTGACTGCACCACGCTCGGAGCGTATGTACTATACTTGCTGAAAATGGGAGGAAATACACATCACCGGCTGTCCTTGGAACATCGCATGTACCTGACTTGCTGGTGAAACGCAAAAGTTTGGGTTACACCTTTTTCAAAAAATGGAATGCTCCATTAGTTGATTTGCATTTTGAAAAAAAAATTGTAATCGTATTTTAGCATACCGTTAGGCATCCGTATATTCAATATATTTATATACTGAAACTACGTGGTACAACTTTTCGCAGCGTTCTGAAGAACCTTGTTCAATGAGAAGCATATATGACGTCAGACACCTCAAACCACCTCACCCACAAACTCATCGAATATAGACAACGATTATATTTGCAACGCGGCAATTCTCATATCGTCTTCAGTTCCCACGATACACTGTACTTCTGACACCCATCCTATCATCATACAATCCCACCAACAACAGCAGTATGTGTCGCTCAGACCTAGAGGTTCAAGGAAAAGAGCTCACCACTGGTGAAATGATTTCATCACTCCACAAGAAATCCCACGAAAGCAGCGCATTCACAAACGAAGCCTTGCTGAAGCTTGCCAAGGAATTGCTGGCAAATTTTGGAGAAACCGAACAAGAATGGTCTACCGCCGGGGATTGGGTAGCGCAAGAGCTCAATACTCTAAAGTTGCATCCAGAATCCAAGCCACTGGAAGAAATGGATGACTATGCGTACATGCAGGCAGCTCAAATCAGAGCTACTTTCAGCAGTGCCGTAAAGGCATACCTTGTTTCCACCATTGCATCTCTTGAGGACCAGATGAAGAAGGAAGAAAAAATTAGTTCTATCGACCTCATCAACAAAAAGCGTACAGTGGAAACCTTCGAGGGATCAGTCGAGGTGCACGGTCCCGCCTCGCTCCCAATGATTCCTGGATTATCCTTCGAAACTTGGTCCAAGCCATCCAATGTAGATTACGAAGGCTTTAAGGAAAAAGCAAAACAAGGGGTTTGCTTGGTGCTTGGAGCTGGAAACCAACCCATTTTGAGTGCCGTTGACTGTTTGCATTGTATCTTTGTCCTTCGATGCCCCTTACTGCTAAAGCATCATCCACTTCGTGCGCATTTGATTCATCCGTACACCATCGTTTTCAAACAACTATTGGACCACGGATTGATGAAACAAATCTTGGACCCTGGTCTTCCAAGGACAAAAGAATTATTGAGCAACGAGTCCATTACTCATATCCACATCACTGGTGCATATCAAACCGTTGCCGCCATTCAAAAGACTTTGGTGGAAGTAAGAAAGGACGTCAAAACCATCAAGGATGCGGCTGCGATGATCACGTCCGAGTTGGGATGCGCAACTCCATTCATCTTTCCTCCAGCTGTCTATACCGAGAAAGAGTTGAGAAATGCAGCGGTAAGTTTTTCGGAAGCAATAGTTGGCCACATGTGCAAAGCAAACATTCCAGTTTCCTGACGTTAAAAACACGATCTTCTGTTTCATCTCCCCCCGACCACCACCACAGAAAGCGTTCGTAACCTCCAAAAAGTATAATGGTGGCTCCAATTGTCTTTGTGGACAAGTCATTGTCATGTCCAAAGAATGGTCCCAAAATCAGAGATTCCGCGAAATTCTACTGGAAGAATTTGAAACCACCCAAAAGGATCCCATTTACTACCCTGGATCGCTCCAGAAGCGGGATTCGGCACTCTCGGCATACTCTTCGTCATCCTCCTCGAATCATGGCAATGAAGACAAGGTTGGTAAACGTCGAAGTTCTGTTCTCAGTGCTGCTCCCACAATCGACTTGGAAGCACCCGAAGACGATGATATTGTACTGGTCGAATGTGGAACTCCTGGAGAAGATGATTTCAATGGATACTCTCTGACCGAAGAAGCCTTTGGACCAGTGGTTGCTATTGTGGAATTACCGGGAGGAAAAGAAGAGGATCCAGTCAAGTACATGCAGGAGACAGTGGCACCCTTTGTGAATGACAAGGAGAAGCTCTTTGGAACCCTTAGCTGCACTCTGTTGTGGCCCGCATCGATTTCGGCGCAATCCAAAAAGCCACAATCGGACGAGGGACTGTTGCAGGCCATTGCCTGTTTGCAGTATGGATGCATCGCGATCAATTCGTGGTCTCTCTTTGGCTACCTTGCGGCTTTGACGGGAGGAACCTGGGGAGGTCATCCTCGGGATAATTTGCGACACTCTGGCTCTGGTGCAGTAGGCAACCAATTTGGCCTACCGATTGAAAAAACCGTCGTGTACGGGGCTCCGTTGACCAATGCTCCTCTGGTGGACAAGAAGAACCTACCACCCGCCATTGTTCATGATGTCATACATGCAGTGATCATTGCGCCATCCATGATTGGGGCCATGTTTAATGTCTGGCTGGTGCTTGCAGCTCGTAGTATTCAATTCTTTTTGCCAAAGTTCATGACACGATGGATCTTTGGGGAGCGCAAATACGGAGCCGCCTTGTAAGTATTACATTCATTGATTCGTCATCATCAGCTTTCCGCTAGAACGATCATAACAATAATGAGAACAACAACAACACTAATTATACGTACAAGTAAGACTAGCTTCTGCCCTGTAATGCACTTAGTAGTCATTATCGTCATAAAAGATTAAGGATACTATATACTAGGACTACTAAGTATTTAGGCTCCAATAGATATTATAATGTATGTTTTACGTATTAATAATTAGTATGTAATACTTCAATATATTCTATTAATGAAGGGAGCATCTTCGTAGAAATTCACCTTCAAAACTGCTGTTGCTACCGCTATCAACGATGAAAAGGTTATTATCATCATCGTCAAAGGTTGATTTCGAGGCAGGTTCCAACAAGATTTGGTTTTTGTTCAATTTTTCATCAAATTGAAGTGGCATGAGGCAATAATGATCATCCCCAATGACTTCTGCTGCAACCTTGGTGTGAATGGGAGCCGGCTTGAGGGCTTGCACTTTCATGGGTTGCAATTTATTGTGTGCTTCCCCACAACAATCAGGAAGCATCATCATCATTTCATGTTGCGGCAAAGTGATCGGGATATCTTGGGTCATTTCGGAGATTTCATCGTCCTCAATGATCAACGACGAAGTTATTACTTGATGTTGCTGTTGCTGTTGATGCGATGATGCTGATGGTTCTACAGAGATATGGCGAGAGGAGGAGGATGAGTCCACCACCATCATCATCTCCTTACGGATATCATCAACATCGGCAGCACCCGCCACATAAACTTGGCGTTGTGGTAGCTGAGGAGTAATGACGGCAACCTTCTTATTGCAAGCAGCAGCAGACGGCTCTTTCGTAGTTGTTGGGGATGTAGTTCTGGATGCTGCTGTGGACGACATGAATTTCTTGGCTTCTTCCGCAGGCTTGGCAGCAGCCACGGTGGCTTCTGCCTGTGCTTTGGACAAGTCTCGTAGCGCATGTCCAATCTTGGCTCTAATTTCTTCATTGGTGAGTTCCACTCGACCATTCTTTTTGGAAATGCGAACGAAGCGAAATCCAGCATCTTCTTGAAGCGTCTGCGCCAAGGTGAAAATGAACTTTCCCCGTTCCGTGCGGTTGGGAAGTGAATCATATTTCTTCAGGTTCATACTGATGGTAATCCGAAAGCGACGGTTTCCAATGTTGTTGAAACACGTCTTGCTTCTACCACATAGAATGTCATATGGTCTGACATCTGCTGGAACATCATTGTTACCAGTGTTGTTATTGCCTTGCATGATGGCGATGATTAGAACACTAGAAGAATTCAAATCTATGGCGATGTGAGATGCTGCGGAAGTGCGCTGAATTCTCGGACGTTGAACAATTTCGTCACCTTATTGATGGATTTTATCACTCTCAAGTCACGGATGCGACCTTTAATCTTTTGTTCCACAGGTACTAGTTTCTGTGCCGAAGTCATTTTGTTTTGATGTCAGGCATGTCGTAGATGTCGCATGATGAGTCAGAGAAACAAGCAGATGTCCAGCTTGTTCTCTATCATGCACGGCCAATAAGTAATGTATATATTGGCGAGGAACGGGTTCGACAC